TGCGGGGTGGGTGCGGGTTGGGGTGAGGGCTGGGCCTCTGGGCCAGATGCTGATGAGCAGAGGGGCGGCGGGAGCGGACGTGGGAGTCCTAGCTGAGTGTCAGGGCCGGAGGCTCCGGTTGGAGTTGGGATATTTTGGGCATGAGCCTGGCTCAAGTTGTGACTGACTAGCCCATGTGACCTGGGGTAGGTTGACAAAATACCCTGAAGCGTTTGCTTTCCCTGGAGGGCTGGGCCTCTGGGCCAGATGCTGATGAGCAGAGGGGCGGCGGGAGCGGACGTGGGAGTCCTAGCTGAGTGTCAGGGCCGGAGGCTCCGGTTGGAGTTGGGATATTTTGGGCATGAGCCTGGCTCAAGTTGTGACTGACTAGCCCATGTGACCTGGGGTAGGTTGACAAAATACCCTGAAGCGTTTGCTTTCCCTGGCAGTAAAGGGAAGCTAACCAAACACCGAGTCTGCCAGATTGTCCTGAGGATTTGTGAGAACCTGTATGCAGACCCCTCACCCCCTGCGACTGGTGCAGAGTTGCTGCTGTCATTATGTCCGTGGACAGTGTCCCGAATTTGGGCTCAGTTCCCGCTTCGCCACCTGCTGCCAGCGGTGGTGGAATGGCGAGGCCTTTTGCAGCTGTTTCCAACAGCTGGCCTGGCTCTCCAGTCCACAGAAAAGATTTTGTCCACCTCTCCCTCACCGAGCAGCCTCTGCCTTCTTTTACAGGATCTGGAGACATCCCCAACGGATGGTTTCTGCCCAAGCCTAAACAGCCAGGACCAGAGTGCTACGTGCACGGAAGGGCCTGCCAGGGGAATTTTCCAAGTGCTCCAGCCCCAGGCCTTGCACTCCTGAAGTCAGCTGGGGAGGCCAGCAGTGCCAGTGGGATCTGAGGAGCGGCTGTAGCCCAGGCCATGCCGGGCCAGGGACTGCCCCTGCGTGTGGCCACCCTGCTGACGGGGCTGCTGGAATGCCTGGGCTTCGCGGGCGTCCTTTTTGGCTGGGCATCCCTGGTGTTTGTCTTCAAAAAAGAGCATTACTTTGAGGAGCTGTGTGAACCCGATGCCAGGCTGATGGGCAATGCCACGGGCATGGAAGGTAAGGGAGCGATGACTTCTCTGGGAAGCTGAGTCTGGTTTCCAGGTGGTGGGAAGGGTAGGAAGGACTTCACTTCCTGGCCACCCTACCATCCTTTCTTTCTTTTTCTCTTTAATATACTTTTATTGATTTCAGAGAGGAAGGGGGGGGGGAGAGAAACATCAATGATGAGAGAGAATCATTGATCGGCTGCCTCCTGCACGCCCCTCCACCAGGAACTGAGCCCACAACCCAGGCATGTGCCCTTGACCAGACTCAAACCTGGGACCCTTCAGTCCGCAGGCCGATGCTCTGTCCACTGAGCCAAACCAGCCAGGGCCCTGCCATCCTTTCTGTGGAGAAAGGGAGGGATTGTCAGCCAGCCTTCCTCTGTGCCCCAACCTTCGTCTAAGGACTGCCTGGGGAGGGACGTACCAGCTTCTGAGGGGTAATTAAGGACCGTCACATTTCAGCTTACCTAGGGGAGAACTTTCCAGAGGCAAGCTGTCTGAGGTGGCAGGGGCTGCCCCAGACGGGAGCCAGGCTGGATGCCCACCTGGCAGGAAGTCCAGGGTGGAGGAGAGGCTGGCCCCTCCACCCCAGGCTCCTGAGCTCTTCCTGTCTCTCCTCCAGACTGCAAAGCCCAGGATGAAAGGTTCTCACTCATCTTCACCCTGGCGTCCTTCATGAACAACTTCATGACCTTCCCCACCGGCTTCATCTTTGACCGTTTCAAGACCACCGTGGCCCGCCTCATAGCCATGTAAGTCCCGAAGGCCCAGCCTGGGCACAGGTGGGTAAGAGGAGTTCCTCTGGCAGCAGCCTCACTTGAGGGGAACCCAAGCCAGGCAACTGGGCAGCCCTGCCAGGCCCTGTCCCAGGAGCTTTGCAGGGGGTGGACTAACCTTCCCACATCCCTACTTCCCTTTTCTCGCTTCCCCTTTGGCTCCATGTGCATGTGTGTTCAGCATGATGCTGAATCGAGCAGGAGCTCAGGCCTACTTCCTGGGGCCAGGGTTACCAAATGAGCAATACCTGGAATTGTCACTCCGCCTTCTTCCTGGAGATCCTTGTCCACATCTCCTGCGAGGCCTCACACCCAGGGGGCCCAGGCTTAGTCATCCTCCTCCTCCCTCCATCATCCCCCAAAAGGCTTAGCTGGTTATGTCTTATGGGGTCTCCAGTGGTGGAGCTTCCCGTCTCTTCTGACCGAAAGCGAGCCTGTGGGGGTTTCCCATGCACATGAGTCAGGGAAGGTCAGGGGCTTTATCTTGTTCACACAGGTGCCCCTGGGGCTGGCATGTCCAGTGATAAGCAGCGGCTTACTGGGGGCTGATGGGACCCAAAGCAAGCACCTCCTGGCAGGTGTGCGAGAGACGAGTTGTCAGACAGAGGGACTGGAGGGCAGGCTAGGCCAGGAAATACCCCGAGAGTCAAGTTAGTCCCTTGCTCTTTAAGTGTTTGGGTGCAGAATGACTTTATCTCAGTTTCCTGGTCCTTGTCTCCCTTCTTCCCTCCCCTTCCTTTGCCCCTAACTCTTTCCCCAGCCTTAGCATGTTAACAAAATCTCAGTCTCCCTTTCTGTGTTTCTTCTTTACTTTCCTACAGAATACTTCCCTTCTGACACTTCCGGTCACCAAATGTGTGGGTTTTCCACACCGAGCAATTCTGCGACCCCAGCTGGGTGTTCTACAGTGTAACTCATTTCTGACATCCTCTGCCTGGAGGTAGTGTCAGATCTCACAGCTAAGGGTTCCGTCCCAGGAGACTGCCCCCCCTTTCAGATGTCCCAGGTGGTAGATCTCCCATGTAGGGGAGGAGAAAATTTCCCCTCTTTCCACTCTTAGTTTTTCTGGCTGATCTGATAGTTAAATTAACATGAAGAAGATTAATAGGTGTGCCAGGCCAGCACAGTCAAGGGTTCGGTGAGCCTGAGGGGGGGGCGGCAAAGGATTTAGAAAAGACAGACAGAATAAGCTGGGTCTAGGTGGATCTCCTGTGCCTGGCTGAGGCCACAGAGAGAGACCCAGACAGCAAGCTGAGCTTTTATTTTATAGCCAGAGGTAAATAAGGTAGTGGTCACCATAGTTACCTCCCACAGCCCATTAGCTACCCAGATAAGATCTAGGGAGCTCATAAGGTCAAGCCTCGTTATGCCAAGAGGGCTGTGCCCTCTAAGCTGGGACTTGTTTGTGGCTTTGCCAACAGGTCAGTCCGAGGCTTAACCCTACAGCCGCGCCCTACAACTAGGAGAAAATAACCAAATTTAATTACATTCGTTATGCCAAGAGGGCTGTGCCCTCTAAACTGGGACTTGTTTGTGGCTTTGCCAACAGGTCAGTCCGAGGCTTAACCCTACAGCCGCGCCCTACAACTAGGAGAAAATAACCAAATTTAATTACATATGTACATACAGGGGTTCCATAAGAATAAGGGGCTCAAAATCAGGCAGTTGAGGCTTATCTGTCATCTTGAGCTAAAGAGAAAAG